ACTCGCGGGGGCACGTTCAGTGTTGGCGGTTTCAGTTTCTGGACCTGAGCAGGTTGGGCAGCCCCTGCATTTGTTGGTAAACTCCCCAGAAACGCCTGGAGAGGCCGAGTGAATTGTCTAAGCCAGGCGTCAGAAAATGCTGTTTGTTCAAAGAATAGATTTTTTTTTACAGTAAGGTTGATGAGTCACTGGCCACATTGCCCAGAGAGGTGGTAGAAACCCCATCTCTGGAAACATTCAAGGCCAGGTTGGACGGGGCTCTGAGCAGCCTGCTCTGGTTGAAGATGTCCCTGCTCACTGCAGGGGGTTGGACTGGATGGGCTGGAAAGGTCCCTTCAAACCAAACCATTCCATGATGCCCTGTCCACCACGTCGCTGTCACACCACTGGTCTGTGACTGGCCTGGCCCGGGCAGCCTGGCTTCATTTATTTGCAGACTTGTTAGTCAGTGTTACTTTTGATAATAGTGAGCCGGTTATAGTGTGTCAGTACTGTTATGGGAAAAATAGATTTATAAAGCTATTGTTATGATCAAACTGTGCCACGTCCTTGGGTGAAAGCTTTTCTTGAACTTTCCAAGCGACTGTGGAGATACCAGAATCAGTTTTGGTTGCGTTTTCAAAAATATTCAACTACCTAGCTCTTGTTAACCAAACCCCATACTGAACGTGCACGACACCTTGACATGCGCGGCTCAAAGTGTATCGAGTTAGAGCGCAAGCGTTAAGATTTTGTGGACTGAGATTTCCTTTTTCATTTTGCCACTAGTTTTACGACTTCAGAGAAGTCAGAGTAAACGCATCAGTGGCTGAGTCTCTGCATCTATAAAGTGTAATTGTGAATTTTGGCTGCTGGGAATTGAGGTGGTTGGGGATTTACTCTACAGGAAATAATTCGGTGTGAGGTAGACTGATGGGATTCTAGCTCTAAGATGATGACAATATTTACTTCATCTTTCTGCAAGCTAAAAAACTCTGGAAAGAAAACCCCAAGCCTTCATTTTAATATATTGTCTGTTTTCATGTTGTGTTTGAGGGAAATTTTAAATCTGTACAGTAATTTCCTGCTGGTACCTAGTCAAACCCCACCGTGACATTTAGTCACACACGTCAGCTACAGACTCTGTTAAACAGATCGCTAGATCACTGAGCTGCTCCTGGACTTTGATGCCTGATATATTCTCTCACATCAAAGTGAGCATGTGTCTGCTTGTTTGAACACCTTTTTTTTTTCCCTTATCTCTGACAATAGTTTACTTCAGATGGCTGAGAAAACAACCAGAGGCCCGCAGGATGTCCCTGGCTCTTCTCCTGATGAAAACGAATTTCCTTTTGGATATCCTACTAACATTTGTGAGGATGCACCTGATCAGAAGTACCTGTGCAGTAACTGCAATAACATTCTGAAGAAAGCTCTGCAAATGCTCTGTGGGCATAGGTACTGCTCAGCCTGCCTCTCCTGGATCGTACGGTAGGTCCTTGCTACAGAGGATCACACCACCAGCATTCCCAAGAGCTGCGTCGTGCCGCTGTGCTCAGTAGAGTAGCTCATTGCTCAGTAGATGAGTCTGTGGCTACCTGGGCCATTGGACCACAGTTGCTTCACTATCTGGATGTATTTACCTGCAGTGGAGCTCGGGCTACTCTCTACCTCCTTCTTGTTTCCAGTGTGAAAGTCAAGAGGGTGGGGAAGGCTGGGTTACTGGGCTTGACAGATGGCAGTTTTTCTGTGTGTAAGTGTGAGCTAATGATACTGATTGAATCTTGAAGAACTAGTGTAAGGCTGACTTCATACTTGAAGGGGACTTTACAGTCCTTTGATAAGTGATGTTATGGGATTTTAATGAACATTAGAGCTTTGTTTTTAATAACTCAGCTGGGTCACTGCATTGTAAGGTGCTGCTGCCATTAGTGACAAACAATGACAGCCATTGTCCTGGAGAACCTGAAAACCAGGGGCTAGGTGGGAATTTGCTTTGATTGATGAGCTGCTTCTATCCTGCCTATTCTTTCGACAGTTACGCCTTGATCCAGAGCCTTTGGAAAAGGGTATGTCTGCCCCGCAGGTGAGAGGTGAAATTGCAGCACAGTTCCATGTACATGAGCTGACTCTAGCTTTGATGTTTTGGAAAACAGCAGCTGTCAAGATTCAGTGACTGGGCTTTAGTACTGGCTCAGTAGATCGAAAGCCCACTACTGCATTTCCTCATGGATGTCATTAGTAAGTTAGTTTGTGTATGTGCCAATTCATGCAGTCCCAGTTCTGATCACAGTGGGAGGCACCTTGAAAAGCTGAGCCAATGCACCAGCCACTTGTGATCTGAAGATCCATGTACCATAATGTAAAAATGTATTGAAATGAATATATTTGACCAACTTACATAAATGCATTGCTGTAAATCTAGAACGAAGCCCCTTAATAAAGCAACATAAACCGTAAATTCAGAAAACTGTCAGCAGAACACAAATGGAATTGTTAAATCTTCTCACTAGAGTCTTATAGCACAAATAGGAAAATGACTCAAACAAGTTAATTAGTACAGTTTGAAATCAGTTATGCTCAGGTCTGATGGATGCTTTTCTGATGAGCTTTCTGGCCTCTGTTAGTTCATTATTCACCTGGATGCTAAACAGCACTAGCGATTAAATGCATCTCTAATAAAATTTTATTTTCTGCTTTTCCTGTCTAAAATTCTATGCTAAATATTTTGAGAGTAGATCAAACCCTTTTTTAGCTGTACAAGGATATTAACTCTCTAGAATTCAGTTCTTCACTGGTTTTACTGTGTCTTTGGAATTTGAAGTCTATATATGTATCTTGGGAAAATGGGCATTTTCTGTGTTTTAAAAGACTTTAGTTTTCATGCTATGTTTCCTACGTGGTATCATGAGAGTAATAGGTGCCCACCTTTATTCTTTTTTATGATCTAGGCTGCTCTTACGTTGCTGAAACACGGGTAAGATTTATGAGCCTAGCCCTAGTCTGGAGGAATAGAACAACAGGGTTTTTTTGACGTCAGTGTGTTCAAGAATTGTCCCTTTAGTGAATAAGTACCATGGATTCTGAGTGAAAATTACAATTTCCATGTTTTTATTTGTGTCAGTGTTTATACAAAGGCCTCCTAAACTGCAGTACACTGATAGTTATTTCATTCTTCTTTCTTTTTGCCAGAAACAATAAAAATGCAGTTTGCCAGAAATGTAATGAGGAAGATCCCAGCACTCTAAGTGAGGGAAGCCTATTGGCAGAAGAAAGGGTAAGTTGTAGTTCACAGTTCATCAATTTATCATTAACCATTATCTGGGCTACTCTATAGTCATCACTGGGCTACAGTTTAGGAGGGAATAATATAAAATGGGGTAGCAACTGATAGTTACACATTTTAATTTAAGCTTTAGTCATTTGGATTTCACATGGTTTTTGATTTAAAAAAATGTAATGGCAGCCTTAGGACTTTCCAAGTCCCTCAGGTTCTGCAACATAAAATCCCACACTCTTCCATATGATTAACTTTTTATTGTCTCAAAGTAGCCGGTGCTTTCCTACTTGGAGTAATATGTTTTAGCTGTTACTTACTATCCTCAGGAAGTATCCCAGTGGATTTTCCAATCTCATGGTTCTCTGTATCCTTCAAACATGTTACCAAACTTACAGGTAAACCATCCCTAAAGAAAAAAATCTAACGTTAGCTAGGCAGCTAAATTGCCTAGAAAGTGTTTTGACAGCCAGGGTATCTGGAGAAAACAGTGGAAAACATAGAGCTGAATATAATAATAGATAAAAACTGTACGCTGGCAAATGTTTCATCTGTAATTTAACGATGCGGATCTCTTTTGCTGTTGTGTGATTTTCCAGGCAGACTGCTGTACTATTCCATATCCTGAATACAAACTGGGCCGTAGAGCTCAGTCCCAGCTTGTCTTTTTATCTCCTTTCTCACTCTGTGCAGGAATACCAAGAGACACACATTCTGTCTAAATTTGTTAGGGAAAACCAAAACCTAATAGGTGAAGTTTAGGAAGCGGCTGCAGCAAAATAATGAATCTGCAGTTAATGCTGAGTTTGGTAATATCTCAGAAAAAATCCTTGATTCTGCAGTAAACTTCCCAGTAAGAGAATTTTATGCATCATGTCACCACAAATAGATACAGCTGAACCCTTCTGCACTTCTTATTCTGTGTTGCCTGTCAGTTCTCTTATAACTCTGGGATTTCGCTGCTGCGGGTTTCTCACCAAATCTGCTGGGACTTTCTGCAGAATCTGCGGGTGGGTTGTTGTAAGCGGGGCCCCACTCTCGCAAGCTGATCTGTCTGGGCAGATTCTCATGCCTGCTGAGAGTCCAGATGAAGTCAATCACCACGAAGGCATGAGGATCTGCCTGTATAGATCGACTTAAAACAAACGGTCAGAGTTTGTAAACAACACAAATAACGAAGATACCTTAGCAGGTTTGTTCTTTTTACCTGTTCCTGGTAATCTCTGCTTTACCTTTGCTGTGGTTTTGCTTCATGTTCGTTTCCTATGCTATCTGTTTATGTGTTTGTATTTTAAGTAAGATAACTACACAAGAGAAAGAAAGGCCCTGTCAGGATGTGCCTTCACTTATCCCATGATCTATTTCTGTGGTAACTCCCATCCCTTCCCTGTTACACCCTTAATTTATGATCCTTCCTACACAACATACACTTCAAGTCTTATCATGGTGCTGTTTGTCAGTATCAATAACTGAGCATTTGCATCTGTGGCTGAAATCAGTTGGAGTGAGAGCATCCTCCCAAGCCTCTGCTCACACCCTACCTGCTGCCATTTCTGGGCCTGGCTTAGAGGACAGTTCTCTGCTCTGAACTGAACACAAACTGCTTTGTGGCTCTCCCCACTCTGGCTGTGTTAGAGGAACTGGAGATCCTGGTTCAGTTGCAGAGGGACAACCTTAGGTAGAAACTAAAAAAACCCCACTGGATTTATCCTGGAAAGCTTTTGGTCAGATTGACCTAAACAATTTCTGTGCTAACTCAAGTTCCCAGATAAGAGGGCAGAGGTTCAGGTGAATATTTCAAAGCAGTGACCTGTGCAGATAAAAGAAGAGATGAGGATTTCCTGCCTCTTCTTTTACCTGAGTAGTGTTCATCATGATTTATGCTACAAGTGTGAAACAAAAAGCACAGGGAATGCACATAACAGTGAGAAACTGCTGGGACTGTCCCTGTAGTTAAATATATTTTAAATGATCTGTTTTGTAATGTCAGGAAATTCCTTGAGTTTTTCTCTTATGACAGAGGGGAAAAAAGCCATCATGTGCCTGGTAACTTGAATTTCTTTTCTTTGATTTTGCTCATAAATTAGACTACAATTTTTTAAAGGCTGGGGCTGGTATGCTTGCACTAAGTGTGTGTTGATTGCTAGCTTATTAGATAACGTCTTCAATATATATAGGTGGAGCCATACATGTTTTTGAACAAACAATATTATTTTTTTAATTCCTTGTTTGTAGAGTTGTTTGCAGTTTGCATGCAAAGTTCTTCTGGGGTGGACTTTGCTGGCAGGTTGAGATGAGGAAAGGAGTTTCTGTGAGACCCTGCATATAGAAATGTATCTCATTGTTACCTTGGTAGCATTGCGTGTGCTGCTTCTGTGTCATTTCATATGACAAACGTAGGCTAAGTACAAACATCTTGTATCTAGATTAAAAAAAAATCAGGAATGTTGATTATGATAATTTTCTTTGCTTGTTTTTTTTTTTTTTAGCTCATTGTATAGAATTCAGTAACTTTACTGAAATGTGGGCATCATTTGTAAATACTTTCCTCCCTCTATTTGTAAAGTTTCCCCTACCCCAGTTCTTACACTGCTCTGTGTTACATTAACGTGGGAAATCTGTAGTCCTCTTTACTGTGTGCTTACCAACAAAGTACCTAAAAACATGCCATTAACTTTAGTAGGGCTTGTTCCCCTGTCGATGTACCTGTTTTGATTGTGCAAAATGTACTAGTAAAAGTGTGTAGTGTTTCCTAATTTACATAATAATTGTCCAGTTCTTCATGGTTAACATAATAAAAAAAATCTACGAAGTGCAAAAAAAAAACCCCACTCACATGTGGTTTACATTTCTTTAGTACACAGTGCCATGCTAAATGGAAACAGCCATGGTCTCAGAAATGTACTCTCAGGCAAGTACTCTCTGCAGCACGTTTAGGAGGTGTTAATGACCCCAATAATGAAATGCATTCATTAAGAGTGGCACATGGCAGCACCCTATAGTTAGGGTCCTGTCAGCACATTCATGTGACATATTTCAGGCTTCTGTGAAAGGAAAGTTAAAGTAATAGCTGTAGTTGGCTAGGCATATTTTCAGTAAATTTATATCACATCAAATATTTCATTTTTGAACCATAAGAAAGAAATGATTTAATAATTATTTTGGCTTCTACTACACTGAGACTAACTTGCTAGGTTAGAGAGTCTTATGGCAGTATAGTAAATTTTAAAATATAAAGGATTTATCAGGATGTGTAGTTTTGCCACAGTCACCTTATTCCTATATCAAAAATGCACAGTGCAGTGCTTTCTGACCAGTGTTTTTTTCCTTATTGTGTTTACTTTCCAGGCTTTTGGTGATGCTGCCATTAATAAAGAGATTTCTGAACTCAAAGTACACTGTGTGACCCTTGGATGCAGTTGGTCTGGTATCATGAAAAATTTTGAAGTATGTTTAAAAGCAGTTTATTTAAATTAACATGTACTCTTACTTGAATGGGGACAGAAAGACAAATTAATGCAACTTCATTAAAATCAGCCAAGGTGTAATGATTTATAGCAACAGAGTATCTAAAACCATGCCATTAACTTTAGTAAGGCTTTGACCAAATCTAGAACATCCGGAATGATTGTGCCTTTTCTTTACTAATTTTGCACAAATTTTCTATTTGAGCGTATTCCTCTTTAAGGAAAAATCTACCCAGTTTGCTTCGCTTCATGGTTTTGAGAATTGGAGCCCCTCTCAGCATGAACACATGGCAAAATGGATTTGAGAGCTGGGCGTGTGATTGAAGCGGGCATTTCTGTAGGGGACAGCCATCTTTTAAAGGCAAAATGGGTTGTGACACAGAAGCTTCAGTGAAAGAGGTCAGAGGAAAGAGTTGTTATTGAAATACCACCCTTTACAAATCTGAAAGTAGAACTGTTGGATGTAGTTGTGAAATAAGTAATGCTGATATTTGTCCTTGTTGAGATGAGAGGATGCAAATAGTGAAAAGGAAGCATTTAAAAAGTTATTCTGAATATGTGTAAGGGTTGTGTCCTCATTGTTGCATAGAAGGTGTCGTATGTCCATTCTTTTATGCTATGCAGAGATGTCAGCAGACTAACCACATTCATCCTACCAGCCAGAGCAGGATGGTCTCAGTGCTCAACAAAAAAACCGAACCCAAGCCCCACAAAAAAAAATCCAAAACCAAAAAAAAACCTGAAAAACCCCAGCCTAAAAGTTAGGGATCCTCTAAGACAAGGAAGAAAGCTGGAGCCAGGATCATGTTGTTTTCAGACAAAAGCACTAGAGAGAGACAGTTCAAGTGAGACCTCATGTTTGAATTTATGAAAAGGTGTTTGTTATTTTTTTTAAGTTAAGGATTAACAAAAAAGCCCCACTAAAGCTGATTAATTTTTCACCAGTAATCTCGGTAACATTGTGGAGTGGGACTTTACCCAAGCTCAGAAGAAATGCAAAGCAAAGATCTAGGCTGACAGAATGGATCCTATTTATAGATAAATGTGTATCTGCAGTTTACATTTTGGTTTTTAACTTTTCACTTCCAGGAGCATCAGAGCTTATGTGAATATGCTTTAATCCCTTGTCACACTGGTTGTGGACACATGGTGATGAGAAAGAAACTTGCAGATCATTTGGAAAATGGATGTGTTAATAATGTGACCACGTGTCAGAAGTGTAAGCGGAGCTTATCCAGTTGTGAATACCAAGTAAGAACATTTCTCTGTTTCAAATGAGGCCTTTATATTAATGGCTTGAATAATCTATCATGACATTTTTCATCCCCATTTCATGAATGCTATTGCACTTGGAGAATATTAAATTTTCCTGAGTTTGCTGTTTTTTCCATGCATGTGTTGGGGATAAAAATGAGCTGTGTTTGATAGTCTGCTTGTGATGTTACAACAGAGAGAGAAATGTCTGTGTGCTTATCCAGGGCTTGGACAGCCCATGTTTTAGCTCCTGTCTCAAAGCATGTGTCCCAGTATGAGGGAGGTAAGAAGCAGAACAACACTGATGGCGACAGGGAAGAGATCTTGAAATCTTTGATCCTGAGATCAAACTGAAACTGCCCACAAATTTATAAGAAAAGCTTTTGTCAGGTAGGATTTCTATTAAACGTGATCCAGTATAACCCTCCAAATTAGCAGCAGTGTCTGTGTAGACCAGGAAGCTGCCACAAATTTCTGAGTGACTCTTTAAACAGAGTTACTTCAGATTTTTTATGTTGAAGTTGTGTTTCCCACTGTTGTGACAGGTACTTGCAAAATGTACGTGTAGATACCGTGTGTGTGTGTGTGCATTACTGACTTGCAGATTGTAAGTGCCTTTATAGGTTAATTTTAACTGAAATAAAATATGCTCTTTATTTTTACCCATATTTGTAGATGCAGCATGCTGCAAATTCTGGGAGTGGTCTGAGGCCATAAAGTGAACTAACAGAAACTATTCTGTGCTGCTGAAGGAGGAAATGGTGTGGTGGGGCAGATGAAAAAGTGGTAGAAAATTGTCTGTTCTTATATGGAGAGATTGCTGAGGATACAGCTACACTGGCACACTGCTCAGCCTCATGGTGGAAGTGCATTGTGTGCTGTTTAGGATGTTTTGTGATTAAAAACAAACAGAAAAAGCAATAGCAGCATGAATGAGAGATGTCCCACGCCTGCTAACACTGCTATGTGTGTTTGGATTTGAAAACTCATCCCAGCCCCACCTAACTTAACCCTGTGGGCTCTGTTATCACAAAAAAACGTTGGACAACAGTCCTTTGGGTGTAGCATAATGAATATTGATCCCTCCAGATGATTTAAAGGGAATAATTGCCAGCCTGGAATGGGGACAAAGTGATAGAAGACCTACCAGGTGGGAGGGTTGTTGTGAGTATCTCAAAAATGCAGCCTGAAGTAAGGAGTGGATAGCTTTGCATGTCATAACTGTCACAAACTCGTGCCTTTCCAAGTCCTGAGCTGTGAGATTTACTCAACATGGGGTATCAACCCTTCTAGGGTAAGAATAAGGTGTTTTTACTAAAACATGCTGCTTGGGAAGCTTTTGTTTGTGCTCTTCATATCTCTTACAGAGAGAGAAGAATATCTGGGCCCAGTCACATTTTACCAGAGCTAAATCCAGTGTTTGTTTCAGAGATGAGATAACAGAAGGTGGCAACACTTAATCCCTTTCAACCTTCTGTGAGTGCAGTAGGCAGGCTGGAGGGGGAAACCTGAGCAGTGGGAGCATTCCCTGAGCACCTTTCACTTTTCAGAGGTCTGATACCGCAGATCCACCTCAGCAGGCTTCATCTTCCTGCAATGAAAAACTGTTTTCCTCCCACACACTCCAGTTTGCTATCATCTAATTAATTTTTTGGTTAGGAAACCTTGGCAACCAAGCAGGGGATTGGCCTCGAGATGTTGATCTTTCTCTGCCTGCTTTAGTTAGTGTTTGTAAAATTGGAATTTTGCTGGTTACATGATCTGCTTTATTAAATTTGCAGTTACACGGCATATGAATTTTGGTTATTTGTGTATATTCCATGTATCCACAATCCTCTGAGAGCAAATTGTACATTTTATGCACTGCTCTCGCTCTCTCCATCTTAGCCAACCAGTTACTGGTCTTGTGATTTTTGCATTTCTATATTTTAAAGAAACTTCTTACCAGCCACTCTCCCCCTCAAGAAATCAGCAATCTGAAGGAGTCCCATAGCAGAAAGGAAGAAAATAAAGGCATACTTTGTGCATCAGCTCAGCTATAGAGTATTAATAAATGAGTTAGAGAGTGAGGAAAACCCATGGCTGTATTTCTGAGGATGAAAAGAGAAACCTCAGGACTCTTTGCAGGGGACACCTGAAGGTTGCTGGAATGGCTTTATCAAAAAATTTCTAGGCTGCTATAGGAAATGTACTGGCATGCAAAGGTGTTTATAAAGATGAAAGACAGCTCCCCTGAACAGTATGAGTTGAAAGCTGAGAGTTGCTGTGTTAAATACACGTATTACAGTTGCACGAGCCAGCGCAGGAGGATTGCTTTACCCTTCTTGGAGCCAGGAATGGCAGGAAGTCTCGTGTTAGCGGTAACGCGTTCTGCATTAGCACATCACGATGGAAAATTTGGATTCCAGCCTTCTAAATGTGAACAAGCAGGATGCAAGAAGGGTCTGTGCATTAAGCAAACTATATGAAGTCAATGCAAGAAGAGTTTATATTTGTATTTCCTGTATATTTGCTTTTTGTTCTGTAATCCACCTGCATGTCGGTGTGTATATATGTGTGAGTACCTGTGTGTGTGTGTGTGTGTGCACATAACTATGGTGTGAACTGGGCAAGACTTGCACATTGCTAATCTTCAGTGGCCCAGGGTGACCTTGCAAAGCATCTGTAAGTAGTTTGCAAGAGCTCTGGGACCCATAAGCAAAAGATCACACTTTGTACTTTCACTTAACAGATATCTGGAGATCCATCGCTGAACACGCCTGCTAGGCTGAGAAAGAGAGTCATCAGCTTGGAGGCTCAGCTTGAGAAACCTCTGAGTCCGCAATTCCCTGTGCAGGGGACAGCAGCACCCTCTTTTAGCAGATGTGCTTTAGTCCCAAATTTCTGAACTTTATTTCCAATTAAAAGAAGCCAGAGAGCTCTGCAGCCTATTGCATAGTGTGGCCCAGAGCAGGCGCTCTCTGGGCAGGGCTGCAGGATTTTGCACTGTGTTGCAGAGTTTGTAGTGTTCCTGGCAAAGTTCCCCTTCCTTCCTTTACTCTTCTTTAAATCCACACCTTCTAAGAAGAAAGCAAGAAACTTATTGTAAACTTTTTCTTCTATAACACAGAATTTCTTGTAGAAAAGCCTCTCAAATCCCCAAGTTTCTGTAAAAGGGGAATAGCATTCCCAAACACAAGCTTTGTTTCAAAGACTCCTAAATAAGGATGCTCAATGATTTTAATAACATACTGCGTTCTTGTTTTAATGACAGGAACATTCATGTGAAGGCAGTTTATGTAAGGAACAAAAACATGTGCAAACAGAAGCATCATCAAAGGAAAAGGTAGGTAAAAGATGAGTGAATGCAATACAGCTTTATTTCAATTCATAAAAGTATCACTTGTTCATTTAGATTAAATGAATATCTGAGAATGTCTTCAGATGTGGCAGTTGTATCTGGGTGCTTTTTACATCCCAACGTAGCTCTGCTGACTACCTGCTCTTCCCTGCTTACACAATTAACTTTATTAAATGATCTCCTCAATTAATCTCACAAAAATGGGGAAATATTTGTTTCCTTTCAAATATTCATGAAGACCCACATGAGCAAAAGAAGAGCCTGCTGCATAGCAGCATATTTAAAGAGACCTGCTTTTGGTTGTGAAGGGGACTAAATCTGAACATCAGTCAGAGCTTTTGGTCTGATAGATCCATTCATTCCCAGGATGTGCTGCACGACACAGCTCTTCTAAGAGCAGGAAGAGGGCTGGAGTGGCTGTGTGCATGGTGTTACCCACTGTGGTGGGCCACTTTGCTCATTGGCATCTTATTTATGAGAAGTTGTTACTAGAGGGATTGCTGTGGTTTGTTAAATTGTGATTTACCAATGAATTTTCAAAGCTGGTTTGACATGGTAAGCTGTGGTAATGTCTTGACTTGAATTAACCTGATTTATAGCTGCTGGGAACGTGGCCTAGTTGTTTGTAGGTAAATAAAAGAATCCCTTTCAATTGGTATTTGATTTTTTTCCCCTTTTTTTATTGCAACAGAGCTCCTCTACACCCTTAATCAACAAGGATGGATGTCGTTTTTCAGAAGTTGGCTGTTCATTTAGGGTGAGTGAAATGGTGCCTTGAGGAAGGTCTCGAATGGTGTGGAGCTCAGCACCGTGCCTTTGGTCTAGCCAGCCTTTGTGTTCAGGGTGGTAGGGCTCTGAGGGTCGGCTGCTATGTAGCTGGACCTCTGCCTTGCAGTTTTTCCATCTCTGCCTCTCCCAAGAAGTGGAAGGGAACATTGCTTGGTTTGGCCCCAGGCTAGTTATGGTGGTTGTACAAAGAGTGTATTGACAGTGTCATCTTCTTACAGGGAAGCAAAGAGAAGATAAAGGAGCATGAGAAAACTGCAGTTGGGGCCCACATGCTGCTCCTGCTGCAGCACATAAAGCAACTGAAGGCAAGCTTGTGCGCTGCTGCCAAAGCTGCAACTGCTTTCATCCCCCAGGCAGGGCTGGATGTGAATGGTGCAGGAAAAAGCATCTCTGATATGAAGATCCCAGGGAGGCTGGAAATCAACGGGGATCTGGAAGTAGACTGTTTTCCTGGATCTTCTGTTTCTGAAGATGTATCTGTTCTGCAACAACTTGTGAGGGAGAAAGTGATTTCTGAGCTAGAAAATAAGCTACATGTGTTTGAGAATATTGTGGCAGTACTCAATAAAGAGGTGGAGACCTCTAACTTGGAAATCGTAGCCTTTCGGAGACAGAGTGAACTCGATCAAAATATAATACGAGGCCTTGAACTGAAGGTAAATAGTTCTGATAAGCCTTGTTTGTGTGCTTGTTCTACAGATAACAAATATTTACAAGTATCAGTGAGAGGTGGTATAGAGGTCAGGACAGGAATGGGCACAGGAGTTTGAAGTGTGATGTCCTGGACACCTCTACAGGATCCTTTTGGTGTTTGGGATGAATTTGCAAATGAGCATCTCTAACATTTGTTATCCAAATCCGTGTTTAGGTACCTGGATATTCCTGAGAGTTTTGAGTGTTCAGAATTTGCCGTGATCAGACTGTGAGCGCAACAGACAGTTGTTTAATTGACTGATCCTCTTAAAGCAGCGTTATGCCTGGAAGACCAAACAGCCACCTGTCCAGATGTTTGTCTTATGTGTTGATATGTAACTGTCACTTAAAGAGAAATTAAGGGAGACCCTCCAGAACATGAGGTCTCCAGAATACTTCTTCTACTTCTACAGCCCAGAGAGGGTGGATTGATTGAGAACTGATTTGTTTTCTCTAGATTGCAGAGCTGCACCGGTGCCTGACACAGAAGGATGCAGGCCTGAGCAGCCTTCATAAGAGTCTTCTGTTCTCCGAGCAAGCTTCCTATGATGGGGTGTTTCTGTGGAAAATAACCGATGTTGGCAGGAAGCTACAAGACTCTGTGACTGGGAGAACAGTCAGTTTGTATTCACCAGGTAAAACATGGGGCGTGTTCGTGTGTTAGCAACACCCAGTCCTTTAGAAAACCCCCTGGTTTCTCTAGAAGGGCGCTTCTTTCTGCTCATGTGGACAGGAGGAACTTTACAAATAGCTCCGTAAAGCAAGATGCTGTTTATGCAGAGACCTCCTGCTCTCCTGCCTGGAGTTCAGAGCAGCTGTGCTGTGCTCTCCACAGAGCTGTGTTCTTCTCTTCTGGGCTTTCATTTTGCAATTTGCCCTCTGCTGCAGCTACATGCAGTGACATCTGCTGGACCCCTCCCCTCCAACCCACAGCTTGGTGCCTGATGGTACTGAATGTCTTTCTGCAGCGGTTATCTCCCACATGAGAAGTAATCTAATTAGTTAAAATATGCTTGTGTGGCTAATAACAGGAAATTTTCACCAAGATGTGAGGCACTAAAGGATTCCAGCCAGTGGATTTTCATTGCTTATAATCTCCAGGGTGTGCTGATTTGTCTGTTCTCATCTCTGTGACAGCAAAACCCATCGTACGCTCTCTTTTCCCATATGTCAGAATACCCATTAGGTCTTTTTTTCAAAGGAGGCTTTACTAATGAAAGGTTCTGATTTTCAGCTTTCTACACAGCAAAGTACGGCTACAAGGTCTGTCTGAGGGTTTATCTGAATGGGGATGGGACAGGAAAAGGAACCCACGTGTCCCTCTTCTTTGTTGTCATGAAAGGAGACTATGACGCTCTGCTCCCGTGGCCTTTCAGGCACAAGGTAAGAAGGACATTTCCCAGCAGAAACCTGCTGCTTCTCCACTGAACACAAGGGGACTTTTCCTCTTGAGTTGAGTGGCAGTTGGAGCGTTTTCCCATTTTCCTCTCTGACAGCTGTTAGCCATACTCCAGCCTTGGATAATATTTTGTCTCTGAATTGAGTGATTTACACCCAGGGAAAGCTGCTCCTGCCGAGATTCCGTACTGTGCCTTGTAGGATTTATCCCAAGCTCTATCCACGTGGGCTAAAGCCAGAGACACGTTTTTTCCTGGCACTTGCTGTACATAGATAATATCAGTTTATGAGGGAATTACGATTTGCTGCTTGAAGCACAGGTGTTAGAAATGTGAGGTTAGAGTTCTGCTTACGAGTGTGCCGTAAATGTCTTATGTGATTCTGATTTTTTTTCTCATTTTTAAGTGCAAGCTGGTAATGGCAACAATGGTTAGAAACGCAGTGGAAGTACACGCAGGGTTCTGATCTCTGTTCTAGCACTTGCCTTCGTGTGGCAATAATTCTGGAAGCCTTTCATAGAAATAGCCTTACTACCATTTAGCTGCCAAGAAAAATAGAAATCAAAGTTCCTAATCCTCACTGTATTAAAAAACCATTACTTACATTTCACATTTAAAGCTAAAAGAACAGCCTGTTAATAAAAGTGATAATGAGACAGGGAGGTTCTATACTGATATTTAGGTTGTCTTTTTTAAATATTTGTGTACAGGCAGCTGAGCTGTTTCTTTTGATTCCAGACCACAATAACAGAATGAGTGTAATGACTGTAACCAAACTCGGGGTTTGTTTAAGTTGTCAGGAGAGAGAGGAAAAAAAGTCTTTGGACTGTGTGGTTCTCTACCAAGAAATAATTCCTTGCTTTATTTTATTTGATTTGATTTTATGTGTGGCAAAGTTTTAAATATTTCATCTGGGAACCGTTACAATCTCCCTTGTTCACGTTAACTGACCTTGCAGGTTGTGAAACAGGCATTATAATTTGTGTTTAATTATCGATAGTGCATCCAGCTGCTTTTGCAGCATGTTTGCACTTCTGCCTTTGACATTTCCTCATTTGTTTTTCACTTCAATAACTCATCATCGCCGCATTCTCTTTTTCAGGTTACATTTATGTTGCTTGACCAAAATAACAGGGAACATATTATTGATGCGTTTCGCCCAGACTTGACTTCTGCTTCGTTTCAGAGACCAGTGAATGATATGAACGTTGCAAGTGGCTGTCCCTTGTTCCTCCCTTTGTCCAAATTACAGTCACCTAAATACGCCTACGTGAAAGAA